CGCAATGGAAAAATATTTACTTCATTTTGGCGAGTCGACAGCCTCCACTTTAATGAAAATATCCATTCTGCGATCTAGCAGGATATGAACAGTCATCAGAACAGTATGTCAACCTTGAATCAAATATTTCGAAGAAATCACATGAAATATACTGCCGCTTTCGAGTTTAGAATAGAGAATGCATATCAATCATGATAACACAGGAGATATCGATGTTTCCACAGTTATAGTACAATTCTGGGAGCTGATGAATCTTGAGTTTGGTTAGGGAGATTTGTCAACATATTCCACGGTAATACATAATAATGCCTTCTGCCTATGTAAATAAACGGAAACACCATTTAGTCTTCTGTGTGACTTTCTTTGAATTGGATCATCTTTGCTTGTTCACAAGACTTTGTTATTCGCGCCAGCTTTGATATAGACGATGGTTCGATATGGGTAGTAGTATCAAGGGCGTGATATAGGCTTTTATGGAGCGTAGCGGGTAAGTAAGAGCCCGAGCGTTAGCAAGGGCTATAAACACGCCTATACCTCCATAAAAGCAAGTTACGCTCAAAATACATACAACACATTATATACGACCGGTATATTTTATTCTTCAATTGTAAATACATCATAACCTCTCAAGAACGAAAGAAATACATCATAAGGCTGCAGTGACGAATATCAGTGTTGGAATCGACGTGTAACCAGTGAATTTTTTGAAGTGGAAGTCGACTATTATATTAACTGTCGATTAATGTCACCACAGATAAATTATTTTGTGTTTGATTATATCATTCAACATCTCATAAATATCAATGAAACTGTAATATTTGATAAGAAACCATGACAACTAGAACAGTAATGTCACGAATTATTCCTATTGCGAGTTACCGATACGCCGAGCAGAGAAGTGCCACTTTTTGCCTCCCAAACCGGCAGGTGGAGTGCTACTTCACGGCCTGGTAGTGCAAATAGATCTCATTGCACTCAAAGGATTCAGAGGGTACTCCAAATTTCCAAAAGCGAAAAAAATTGGTACTGCAAATCATTTGGGATCGAAAATTTACTATGAATGCCTATGGAGATCTGAAGTGAATTGATCCGCAATATAATTATGTTCAATTAACATTCGAATTACCATAAGGTACATAATCAAAGTGACGCTACAGCTTGATGTTTTCGAGTATAAACCCTGTTTTTGTTTCTTTTGCTAACTGTTTGAAGCTCAGTCTTCAGATATTCATCAATGAAGCAAGTAGTTTCAACCGTTTGAAGTTGTTGCCATTCAGTGCCTTGGTGTCCTTATAACTATAATATATGATATTATGTGCCTAGGTACACTGGAAATTGGGTAGAAATTGTGATAGGTTTATACTACTGCGAAAACTATATACCCATTACAAACTATAGAGGTAACATTGATATTAATTCACCATAACCGTTCGGTAGTGTAAAGAAAAAGTACACCATCTCGAGTGAAATCTCGAGTGAATTCATTCATAGCTGAACTCAAGGAGCTCCATATCATAATGAGCAATAATATTCCAGATGATATCACAGATAAATTGCATGCAATGATGAGACAATGTGATGGTGAGATGAAGTGAAATAAAATATTTGAGAAATCTGTACACAATTCATGAACGAAACGCATTTATGTAACAAAACAATATTACGGCGTCAAATCAGCAGCTCTTGCCCTGGATGTTGAGTTGAACAACAACAATGAGAATGCTGCTCACTACAAGATCACCTACAAGATCGCCATTGCATTGAAATCCTAATTGACTTTTACACCACGTAATGTGAGAAGTAAACGAATTTTGTATTACCAAAGAAAAAGTTAATGTTGAGTCTCATCAAGCATCAAGTTCCCAGAAGTAATAATATGTAATCATTGTGAATGAGATATTCATGACGAGCCGAATGAGTATTATCACAAATGGTTTCAAGACGGGTTGAAGCAACGAATCTTCACAACCCTACGAATTCATACAACAGAAGTAAACACTGGAGTATAATGTAACAGCCCTTATTTCTGAGGCCCTCACTTTGGCGCTCGTTCGAACAGAGACTACTCTGGTATTTAACGGAAGGGGGTCTCGGGCGCCAGATTGTTTATGAGGTAGTTCACTCTACCTGTTCTGCACCAAATATCTTAGTACAGAGGCCCAAAGTAGCAACAGTGAAGAAAGGTACAGGAGGTATACCTACCTCGGTACCTATAGTATAAACCAGGGGTCAATGTTATTGATTCGACGTGGAATCAATAAGGAGGCAAGGGAGTGTAGGCTTCAATTACAAACCCTGGGTTGAGCCTGGAATACTGGTTGCTATTTTCATTCTGGATAAGTACAGGAATCAAAGCAAAGATCATTCAGGTGTCTGGTATTTTCAGGTTAGACCTGGAAAATTATTTATTCAAATTATCTCATAACGTCTACCTGGAGAATCGGAAACATAGTTCTAAACCAATTGAACAGATCCAATTCCTATTTATCTTTCCAATTCCTTCGCTTTTCTAATTTTTCAGTATCGGGATTTTATTGAGCTTAATTATATTTTTCTATCCTTGTCAAAATTTAATTAACCACCGGCCACAGCCTGACAGGATACCAAGCACAGGGACACAGATGCACAGGACAGGATTTCTCAAGGAAAAGAAGAAGCAGAAGAATTGACAACTGGCTTGGCAGTGTCAGTCTCAGCCATCACCGTCAGCCGTCAGTCAATAATAATAATCAGCAATTGGACAAATGAAAATATTGAAAATCATTAAATAAAATATTGGAACTATTCGGAACTGAAAACAATGACAACAAAGGAAGAAATATGGATTATGCAATTACATAAAACCGTTTATTCGTAAATACAACCTTCTGGATTCGTAACACAGGTCGGGTGAGTATCGGTATGAAAAACAACAGGAATGAAAGGAATCTATGAACAGGATGAATATTAATGGTGAGAAATACTATACAAACTCACATATGCAACAGGAAATAACTATACATTTATACTTCACACTGGCTTTGAATGAACTATGAGAGCACTAATAAAGATCAGCAAGAGAGCCAGCAGAGACACAGGTGAAGAGTAGAAGAGAGCAGGTAGTGTAGTAGAGAGCGATCCCTTAGCTGCCTTCTGTATTCATACTTTCCATCGAACTCCGCCCAAGGACAGCTCAATCCTAGATTCTTATTGGTCGAAATCCTCAACTATGCCAGCAGGAACTATCATCCGAAAGCACATCTTCTCAAACTCTCAAAGGAAAATTAACAGAATCTACTACCCGTGCGAATGCTACTAAATGAGTTTGACTGGAAAATATCCGATAACAAAAAAGTTATGACCAAGAAAACATTCATCATTTCAACTGATAAATAATTCATCCAAATTTCATGTCGTAAGCAAAGGGTTGAAAAATATTGAAGTCTTTAGGGTTGTAATGATGTTGATCTGAATTTACTACCAGGAAAAGCTTTAGAAAGTCAGGAATCAATGAATTACTTAGCTCTCTCAGGTTTTCAGGTTTCGAGCTTTCGAACAACTGAAATTCAAGTAGAATCAGTCTCAGGTTACTTAGATATTAATCAAAACCAGTCTAGTAATGAATCTCGTCAAACACACATTACAATAAAATGACGCATGGTTTCAATTCTTCCGTCTGGTGAGTAAGTATAGCGTCTGCAGAGAGAACGCAAGAAGTAAAGCGCGTGGTGTGGAAACGTACACGGAAATAAAAATCTCAGTTATAATTATCAAATATTTGTTAACGTCAAATGTGTTCATAATTAATTAGCAATATTCATAATTAAAAAGGCTTATTCATCAGAATCGAACCTGTTTTTATGCTTTATTCATTAACAATAAATGATTTATTACTGTCATATTTGTTTATTGTGAACAACATGATTTTATAATTTACAATTCATCTATCACGCCGATTCACGAAGTGATGATTAATAAGATGAATTTAATTATAATAATAATTATAATATGATTTGGAGATGATTAACAATGATACATACAGTGTCTGTTGATAAATCTATGTATTTATTTGTTATGATACATTTGTTTTTTATTAAAATTACGTAAATAACAATGGATATTCCATTTCATTCTGCGTTTGGTAATTATAATAATTCATTTGGTAGTAATTAAAAAACTGACATGCGCATGGGCCATCATTTTAGTTTAGCTTTCATCTCATAAAGCGTGAGCATCTTCATGAAATCGTTCGTGGTTTGCTTGTGATTTCGACCAACGCGAAAGTTATGAAGTGTGATGGTTATATTAGTTCAATCCCTCATATGACAGTGCGGGTTTGTTCACATCTGGACATGTATATTTATGTCTACAATTAGTTTCTTGGGATAATTTAGGTACGACATCACATATGAAAAAAATGGCAGACGACTATCAGTGCATCACGAGGTGCATCTATTTCACAATACTCAGTGAGTTTAAAAAAAATAGTGGTGCGTGTGGTGCTTATCAATCAATATTGGAACATTTTGAACGTAAGTAGGTGCGAATACCTATGTAGTATGTGTGGCAACCTTATTCATATTTATTTATATTTAATAAAGAACATGTGGTATATGAATAATCGCTAGGACAATGTTGTTGATATAATTATGTCATATGAGAAATTAACTGGAGATTTGTCAAATATATATATCATATCTGCTTATATCAATATTTCTACTGAATTCTATTGTATGAATGTGATAACCATCACATATTGGATCACGTTGATGACCCAAATGACTCCTTTCTGGTGAATGAGTCCAAGCACTGAAACAAACTGATTTTGCGTTTTTGCTGTGGTATTGGCAATGACAAACCCTGAAAGGGCTCACACGTCACTGACGAATAGCCGCAATACGTGCATTTCAATGAAGACCAACAAAATTATTCACCATCTTCGAATTATCCACTTTCAAGAATCTCGACCATGATTCCGAAGCTTTTTCGTTGACATCAAGAATTTCAGCGATGTCTGTGAATTAAGGATCCGGCTTCTCGATGACCTCATTGATATCCTCGTGCAAACCCAAGAGCTGGAACCGCAGGAACTCTTGAGAGTCTTGCCGTGCATTGCCGATGAAGCACGGGGCAAATCTTTGAATTGCGCCCTTCAAAGAGATCATATCCACACCTTGGCCAGTCGAATCCTCCGACCACATTTTTGTTAAGACTTCTGCGAAAGCCTTCATCAAAGATCTCTTTGTGCTGGATATACTGGTTTTGATGTCTCTGTTATTAAAGTCCATTCTCAAAAACTCCAACAACCACTTAGTGTGAGACAGGCACTGAATTATACTGTTCATGAAACAGGTGTTTTCAGTGTTCTTCAAGCCGTTGAGTCCCGAAATCTTCCATGATATTGGAAAATCCTTGGACCAGTATTCAGAATTTTTATCGCTGGAGCGGAGGTATATCGATTTTGAATTTAGATCTTCAGTTAGAATACCAGATGGAGTTGAATAGGTTGACTGGTGATTCGATAATGATTCAACGACACTTCATGTGGGTGGGAGATCCACAGCATGAATGGGTTTGAAGAGTTCACATGAATCTTCTTGTTTAGATCTGCTTGCACAAGTCCTTGTTTTTATTAAAAAAGCATCATCCAGTACATAAATTCTGAAATTCTTTGGTGAAGGTATTCAGTAGATCTATCTTTATGTGCAAAACAGCTACTCAAAGGTCTAACTCTCACCTCACCCCAAAGTTATATATATTCCGGAGAACTTAAAATTACTGATCAATGTGAATCAACTGAAATTTCAGCTGGAGAATTACCTACTTGAAACTGGTTGATCTGTTCATCGATATTTTGATAATTGAATAAAAAAAGAATTTCACGTCGCTATGTCTGTATGTTAACCTTGATTTTTAAATATACTCTTTATATTATTTATATACCTATCGATAATTTTCACTTATTTTTTATATTTCGTTATAAATAATCCATATTCACAATTCGTCAAACCGAAACAAGTGTGTATACACTTATCGGATCTTTCTTTGTTTCATAAATAATGTGAAAGACGTATCTTTGTATTCTGTAAATTTGTATCTTCTATTTCGTATTTTGTAATTTTATGAACCGTATCTCTACACTGAAAGAACTGTTTGGTTATAATAAATAAATATGATTAACTGTTACCAAATCCGTTATTGAAATATGGCTTATTAAACGTTTGTTTGAGAAAAACGAATTATTTGTTCACACCCCCATGAATAAGCCTCGTGCATGGTTAATTTATGATTATTTCTTGATAATATCCATTTATTATCTGAGAATATATATTTGTTCACCCACACCAAACGATTATCATTATTTCAAAATCTTTATTTTTAGTAACCAAATATTCATTTATAAGTATAGGTACAGCATGAAAAGGATCATTTTATAGATAATAAATAAATATTATGTTCGCTGATATAATTCAATGTCTTCATTTCAGAAAAATTGCTAATTGTTTTATTGAATTTCCTGATGTATTACTATGAGGCGCTGTTTGGGTCAAAAGTGTGTATCCATATATATACTAATTCGTGCCGAAATATTTATTAGTTGCAGCAATATATAGTACTTTCAACCGAAATATTTATTAGTTGCACCAATATATATTAATTTGCTGCCCCATATATTTATTGTCCACAAAACCCAATATATTAATGTTTCAAGCGTTACCAATATATATAAACGTGTATATGCAGATGCTTATATAAATGTGAGCTATTTCATCTTTCGAAGAGATGGCGCAACGAACGCACGCGTATTGATTTTATTCGGGATTGAGCACTTGGCATCAGCGCAGTCATTAGTACATGAAGTGGATAGTAGATGGTGGAATGGATAGAATTTAATCAAGGTTGGTAGAGCTGAGGATCAGGGCACTTTGTTTACATATTTTGTGTTTTGCATACATTTTATTTCTGCTATTCAAATTGTGTTAATTCTCGAAGTTATCACAGAAAATATCAAATATCATTGTTGAATCATCATGACATCGTGTGTGTTATTAAAATTATACTGTCTTAGGGATAGTATTACAGCTACTAAGAAGCCTTTCATCAAACCTGTGACATTCTGTAGGATTATCAGGAAAAAATCACCCAACCATTTTAACTATCGGTAAATTAGAAAGAAGTTGATATATTTGCAATGGCAATGAACAATCTCAGCACAAAAACCGACCAAAAGCAATGTGCTAATCTGTCTACTGGCGCATATTCACACTTCACTCAGCTCTGGACTCAGCTTGTGCCTCAATTGATCATAAATTCCATACCATGCAAGACCAGGAGATATTTCATATGACCACAACATGCTTATAACTGCAGCCCCAGGAAGCCTTCTTCAAGTCAATATGAAGAAAGAACTATTTCAACTCACAAAAATTCAAATTTTGCCATCTGTAGAATGATGTTTGCAAATTTGGAATTTCCCTTCACAACAACTTCAGAGATTACCCTGGATTTATAGTAGATATCATCAATGGCCCAACCTCAGCAATATTACCTACTTCTAGCATCTTGGAGGCGTTTTTATATAGCACCACAGATATATTGAAAACCTGCAAAACTCTCACTACCAACAAAAATAGCAATTTGTGTGATTTGTATCCATAAATTAAGTGTGCTCATTTTCATAAGGACAATATAAGTACTATACCTACATCAACATAAAGGTAGGTGGCATCCTAGATTTGGTGTTCATCTATATCTTGTTGAATCAGTTTTTTCATCATATTGATGAAATCTTCCAGTAATCTGGAGTTCCACAACATTGAACTTCGTTCAGATGACCTAGATGATTTTGTTAGTGATTATAGGTATCATTTTGTTATACTGAATTCATCTAAATAAAAATATATATGTACCTATTATGAATTTTATATTCTGGAACTGAATTCATTCATGAGATCGACCTTGGTTCCATATGGAGCGTGTGCACTGTGCATTCCCACTGTGCAAGAACTCATACTATTAACGTTATTTCATTGTAACCAAGATACGTTGTTACGTTATGAATTTGGTGCTATTGACATCTCAAAGATTATCTTAGAGTCGTTATATGTCCACCAACAGTACAATATCGCAGGACGTCGCAAGTACGTTGAGTAAGAGTCGAAACTGATACGTGTCATGAAACAGCTTTGTTACAGTAAACGTACATTCTCAAATAGTATTTGCAATAACGCTTTCACGTACCATGTCTTCATTTCGGAATGTAAAAAGTACATATCTCTGGACAATTTCATAACATTCCTGTTTCATTATAGTTGACTCTCTTGTAACATTACTAGGATCTTTCGAAATATACAGGGTGGTACTCCAAAAATGTCCACCCTTGTAACTTGGTTATTTCTGGACCAATATTCGTGAATTCTGAAAACTATTACTGGTATAGCTGGTACACATATAGCTGGATTTTATCACACTGGGTTTTTCATAATATGTGGGACGCGTCCTCTCATTTTTCCCACTACAGAGAACGATAAATAGGTATAATGAAGCAAACTTGGTTCAATCATCTCAAATGTATCGGAAGAAATAAAAAATGGTAGGTATTTTTAACAACTTGGAAACAAAAGAGTGCTTGTCAATTCTTTGAAGGATCATTTATTATTGTTTTGAGCTGCCCTATCACATCTTGATGTGCGTCCCATATATTTTGAAACACCCAGTATATATTTTCTGGCTGAAAAATATACCAAATAGTTTTTGAATTCTGCGATCGGTCCAGAAATGACCAAATTTACAAGAGGGAACATTTATGTTGGATCACCCTGATATTTACTATAGTCAGCTCCATTGCTAACTACCTACTCAACACAGGAAGAAAATAAATTCAGAAATGTATTCAATCAATGTATGTAAGGTAGAACTACAATTGAAAATAAATGGATATTTGATTGACTAACTATCCTTCCACGTATGTTACTTCTGTTAGTTCAGTTTAATGATTCTATGGGCGAATCTATTTCAAGACTGAGGATTTCATGAAATGCACCTGAAACACCAAACAATTGTAATACACAATATCAGCATCAAATATTCATATCATCCTACCTCGATTCTGCCTCGATTAGTTCCCTTCCTGATGGTGTGTTCTTGATTCTCGATCTTCTGTGGCAGTGGGTGGATTTTAGAGTGTTCTAGCCCAATGTAAGAGTTGATTTTCATGTTGTCATCATGTTTTCATACGCCTTTCAAGAATAAAGGACTTACTGATTTTTGTGTCCTCCAAATGTCTCTATTTTTGATTGAATGAAATCCCAGATACTTGGATTCTGAAATATATACCATACCTAAGTAGGAAATTTACATTACCTACTATATGCATTCCACTTTTTCATACCTAAACTCCCCAGGCAAACAGCAGATGTGTAATCCATCATTTCTACTAAAGTAGGTCAGAGAGTAGGTTTGTCCAGAGCTCACGCATGTTCTAGAGTAATGTAGGTATCCATCAAGTTCCGAGGAAACATCATGAGTTCTGACCTGTAAACAATGTAGTACTTGAAGACATTGATATATTCCAATGAAAGCTGCTTCCGTAAATCACATGAATCAAACTATTTTGAGGGATCTTGTTGGTCACTGATATACAGCTATTTGGTGATACATTTTTCTATATTGCAAATGACCTAACTACAAAAATCAAATAATATTACTGAGTTCATTTAAAACTAAGAGAGGAACAATAATAGAGGACTTGTAGTTATATTCATCACATACTTATATATATTCACTGAGGAAGATACCCGACAATAAATTCTGACTGAAGCCATTATGAATCAGACAACTGTGTGCTGATACATAAACAGAAAATTATGATTTTGGTGATTCAACTCACCTATCTCACCATGTTTTCCAAAAAACGCACTCTCACTTGATTTTCTTGACTATTACTCTATCTCAAAAGTCAAAATTCACACTTTATTGTGAGACACACAAACACAAACCACGCCGGCGTCCGTCATAACCACGACAGCATCATCTCTCAAAATGGCGAATAGGCGAATATTAGCAAAATAGCACAAAGTGAGAAAGATACGTGTCTGATTCAAATCAAGTTCGTGATAATAGTCCCACGGAAAATGATAAAAGTACGTCACATAAAATGTTCTGTGGATGAAATAAGAATACTCTGGAGAAGGCGTTGGAATATTGACTCAAATAAGATCACATAGACGTG